TTTGCCCTAAATCTCTAATCTCTAGTTCCTGTTCAGGAACCAAATCTTCCAGCACTTTGAAACTCCAGCACATGTAAAAACTATGCTTATTAATTAACGCACATCTTCCACATTTCCTTCCAAGTCCTTGAAGGAAGTTTCAAATAGAGAGATCTTAATTCTGACATGATTTCTTTCATTTCTGTTCCAGCAGAAGATACTTTCTTCCCCCTTCTCCATTTTATTTTGCCTGCAAGTGAAGCACCCTTTCTACCTGAGATCAGAGAGTTTCCTTTAAGCTATGCTCAGTTGAATTTTCTTGCTGGCAGGCTATAAAGAAGTGTTTGATATATGCATCTTTCCTGTTTCTTAACATCTTAAAAAAAGGCTGGGTGATGTTTTTGCTCATGTAACTAGAAAATATTTGTGGCTCACTGTAAGACCAGTAACATAAATCTTCATTAGTATCCAGAAACACAATGCCACAATAACCTACTGCAGCTAAAACTGCAGGGAGGACGGGAGAGAGAACAGAAAAAAGCAGAATGACCAAAATAATTGGCTGCTAACTGAAAATCAGTGGCTCACTCCTCATTTCCTCCAAAGAGCCCAATGACTTGTATAGCTATTAGCTTAAAAGGCCAACTGTGGGTATTTCCAAGGCCTAGGAACCACAGAGTTGTGCACCAAGATCCCAGACTCACAAAAGACAACATTGGAAATGGTGGCTCCCAGCAGATGCCATTCACAGAGGAAGTGTTAGACATGGAGAATATAATCAGAGAAACCAATGGAAAACAGAAAACTGAAAGATGTGCCTGTATTTGTTTGAAAAAAAAGTCAGTCATAGAGGCATTATAGAAACATGAACTATGAACATAAAATAATCATGACTGGGGATTAAACAGCCTGTTAAAATTATTATTTTTTTCCTCTTGCCTTTATTTTCCATCTGATTAAAACTTCCCACCAAAGGCCCTCAGACTTATGGGGCTTTGATTCTGGCAATGCATTGCAACTCTGGCAGGTAGCCAGCCTTTTATTTTTATCCCTCAGCCCTTTGGTCTTTTCTTCGTATATTTCTCATCTTGCAGTATTTTTTTCCTCTAGCCACAGAACATATGTAAACAACCAGAATTATTTTTGGAGTACAGAAGCATAACATACTCTATTTCTAGTTCTAACAAGAGATCATATTCTTGCAGATTCTTACTTTTTTTCAATGATTAGTTTTGGGCAAACATTTGTCTGTAAACAGGATACATTTATTAGGTACTTTATGATGTTGAGAAACAGTCAAGATCCCTAAATATGGCCAAATAAAACTAATACAAATATTAAAATTGTTTTTTTTTTCTAAATTATATTACATTTAGACTGTTGACACACACTGCTGATTTTTCAAAAATATTATCCAAAGATAACATACTCAACAGTATATGCATTGCAAACCTACCTCCAAATCCTAAAAGACAAGTTTACCAGAGTGCTTAGGAACATAGAAAACATGCTAAATTGCTTTCTGAATCTCAAAATGCTGAAGTGCACTCCTAATGCTTCAAGCCTACCTCAATGAAAGGATGTAACATCTACGGCATTTGCTTCTTCTTTTTGTTGTTGTGAAACTTAAGACAACTAAATCTTGATCAGAGCTTTGAAATACTTATTCACTGATATTTGTAATTGCAGTTAGTAACTCGTGACAGGTTTGTTTTGTTGGAATGTTCATTTTAAGGTTATTGTCACTACTTTTTAATGTCCAGCTGACATATATCCTATCTTAGATTTACTAGAACCAAATTCAAAACTGCCTCTACAGGTGTTCATGCTTTATTGACTTCAACTTTCACCTATATCTCCTCTGCAATGTATGCCTTCTAAACATGGTTCTCTTACTGAATCAGCAACTGTCCATTTTAAACCCAAGTAAGTCTACAGTAGATCTGTCAACCAAAATTTCTAAATGTGCTTGCCCTCCCAAATAGCCATCCTGTAAAACTGTGCCACTTGAAGAAATCACTCCTTTTTCAGTGGCTTTGATAACAAAATTCATGCTGAAGTTAAAAAAAAATCCTGGCAAATCTTGTGCATTTTACTATTTAGTATCTCCACAACAATCACTAAGTCTGATTGCTCTGACAGCTTTTTCACCCTATGTGCTGACTCCAAGACTCTTTTGTCTTTCCCATCCCAAATTCTGCCACAGAGCCTAACATTATTGAATGTCAAGATCTTCCACCATCTACTTGGTTACAGTTTTTTCCTTAAAGAGTCTAATAACTGTAAGACATTCTACATAATTAGTACATTAATGGATATACGTATTAGCTGTGTTCGTCATACACTGAAAAAGCATGAAATGCTAGAAATACTCTGAATTAATTCTATATATATTTCCCTCCTTACTTGTCACAGACATACAATGTGTGAATATTTTATGGACACTCTAAACTGTCCTTTGTGTTTTTGCATTTTGCAGTCCCTCTTTTTCAGTCAAATCTGTTGACTCCAGTTGGCGACCTACTTCTTTTATTTCTTTGGACCAATTTCCTGCCAGAGTCATGCAGCCAAAAGGTAAAAAAAAAGGTCTACAACTGTTCCTTCAGACACACATGTTGCTTTTGGTGCTCACTCTGAATTTGTCAGAAAAAAAATATTGAGGGTAATGTATCAGATGAGAAAGAGAGCACACAACTGCAGATAAGCTTTGATTCTTTGGAGGTACTTTTCCTCACAGCATCTCTAGAAGTACCTTCTTAAGATGAGTTTATGACTTGCTTTGACATCCTCACATGATGATGCTCTCAATTGATTAATTTCCTTAAAAACTACAGTTTCAAAAGATTTCACTTTTTCTGTGAGCATTTCTCATTAGAGAGAAGTAGAGTTGTGATGGATTTTGAAACACCTTTTACTGTGTCCTATATAAGTTAATGAAAACACTATTAATAATGAGCAGACCTTAATTCTTGCTCACATGTGTGCACAGTGGAAAATTTATCCAAGATTTTAGTTCTTCAAGCTGCAGAAAACCTACTGGAGACTCTTGGGATCTTGTTAAAGATCCAAGATATTTGCTACTTTAGGGAAATCTGAATTCATCAGTTCTGAGTTGCCTCCTTCATCTTTCCCCAACCTGCCATCCATGCATGTAACAAGCTACAAAAGGCTCACATGACCCTCGTATAAGCCCCTTTTATCTTGCTCAAAGCATCTTTCATTGGAACTATGTGTCTTGAGCACACGCAGCAGGAAGTGTTTCCCAGCAGCCCAACCAAACAGAGCAACCCAAATTGCATCTTGCAGCCAGTCAGAAACCCAAGGTAACTTTTGTGGCAAACTGACTTTTCTTTTTCCTGAAAACCTAAAGAAAGTTCCTGAGCTTCTATTTATATGTATGACTTTTCAGAATGAACTTCCCACTAAGAATTTCAGTTCATGTTCTATATATTATGCATTGGCCAAGTGTAATTAAAAGCTTTCAGCTGCACCTCTATGTACTGAAGCTGTTCCATCTACTGAAATACTGAGATTCTATTTTCTTCCATTACACAAAAGTTCCCAACATTTCCAGTGGCCCAATCATACATAAAATACTCCCTTGAAGGAGCACTGGTAACCATAAATGTCATGAAAAGCAATTTGCCTTATCATTTGCTTGCTGCAGCCATTTATGGGGGGATTCCAGGTACTTGTTCCAGGTACATATCTCAATGAGTCCCTATGGAAATTATCAGTATCCTTGATTGTAATATTTTTACCTCTCATTTTAACATTAAAAAATTCAGTCAAGTCTGCTTGCTTGTTCCCATCTACAAGCTTCTGGCAGCACATAGTCAGTTTAATGACAGTCTTGGTTCTGTTCCAGCAGATTATTTAAAAAAAAAAAAACATTCAGATGAAAAAATAAGCTGTGCTTAAATAGCCACATAGTCCAACCAGACAATTTGAAGGTTTTGGCTGTTTTTTATCTCTTACAGACCCTTATCAGGCCAATATACACATACACACAAGCGATATTAATGGGGAGCTTAGTAATGTGTTTGTGCCCAAGTGTCATGATCTGCTGAACACATTAGAGTAGGTGCATTACAGGGAGTGCATTATTGCTGCTCTGTGTTTCCACAGCCAGGCTTATTCAAGAGACCAAGGAGCTTAATACTGGTCACCTCAGGTATGCCTTGATGATGTATTTTAAATGGGACTACTTAGAACATAAACAAGGACATGTATATACTTTAATACTTATCATACTTATCAGCAATTTACTGTAAAAGCAGTAAGGTGGCTGATAAACTGCCAATTATCCTTCTCCCATGTGCTACATATTTGTTAGAGATCTTAACAACAGTGCTGGAGAAAGGACATCAAATGATGCTTAGAAATGTGATACACATTTTCATTTCACACTCCATCAGTTTTTACAACTAGAGCTCCATGAAATGTATGAGAATACTTGGCTAACAGCCATATCTACTGAGCTGTAAAATAAGAATCAGATCTCTTTTTAAAAGAGTTTCATTTTTTTTACATGCCTAAATCAGATGTTGACCTTTTTCCAAAATATATTGTAAATATATTCTGCACCTCTACCCATCAATTAATTTTGAATTTCTGAATAGTGTTTAGACCTGTTTTAACAGATATGTAATCAATACATATTTTTTTAGAACAGCTTTGTAAAAAATATTAAACTAATTCCTCAATCCATTAAACTGAAATATATTGAATTATATAATTACTGGTGTTTAATCTTTTCAATTCTAGTATGTTCTTTACCCATCTTGCATCTAGAAACAAGAAACAAATGCATTATTGCCTTTATAGTCAGCAAAGTAAAGCTTCGAGCATCAGCAAAAATATATTTTGAATTCAGATTTCAATCTGTCAGAAAAGATTAAAGCTTCATGCATATATAAATGGGAACTATAAAATGATAACAGATACATAGCATGGAATCATTTTGCTTGAACAGCTGTGGATTTGCCAGTGTAGTAAAGCAGAAAATGTCTTTTACTCACCTCTGTTAAACCAGAAACTTCTCCTTTTGCTAACGGTCTGCTGATGGATGCAGTATGAACTCTGGCATCTGATACTGGCTGCCCCTTCATAAAATGTTTCCCAGCTTCATAAATATTCACTTCTACCATCTTACCCATTAACAGAGGATCCTTTGGCACAAGAACCTTTCAAATAAAATAAAGATATAGTTACTAAATACTGCAAGGAACATTAGAGTCTCTAGTACCCATTCAGAAAACAGATTTTTGATAAACATCAGAGAAAATCCTAAAACTTAAACATTTTAGTCACCAGTGTACACTACAGCCCTGGCACACTTGACCAGTAAGACCTCCAGCCTGCATTCTACAAGAGCTTTGCAGTGTTAGCTCAGCTCTTTTCAACTCCAACTAATTCCTGAAGTCATGTTTTTTGATTGATGAGAAAGTTGGGCCTGAACTGCAGCTTTGGAATCCAGACCCAAACAGTTCCCAAGGACATTTGTACTACACAATTCTAACAGACTGCTGTAAAGCGTCCCATTTTTATCTCTGTCCTTTGCAGCTGAGATGCATGATTGACAATGAATGCCTGTAAAAATAGATGACTGTTTCTTGGGTCAGCAACTAATGCCACTCTTTCCTGAATTTGCACAACCATGATATCAGACCGTCCCACTTCACATAAAAGCACTAAACAGATGTTCCTAGGTCATGCATTTAAAAAAAGAAAGAGCCCAAAACACAGGAGCAACATTTTTTGGAATGGAAGAATAAATGGACTTTAAATGGCTCCAAAATAGGTAAGCAGATGAAAAAGAAAGGCGGAATAATTTCTTGATGAAATCACGTTTTTTACACTGTTTACAATGAAAAATTGAATCATGGGGACTTATTTAATAACAATTACTTGAAGCTTATCCACACACAGAATCCTAGAGTGGATCAGATTGGAAGGGACCTCAGAGGAGTCATCTGATCCAATCTCCATGTTCAAGCAGAGTCTCCCTCTCCAGTGAGGGAGACTCCACACCCTCTGGGCAATTTGTCCCAGTGCATGGTGACCCACACAGTAAAGAAGTTCTTCCTCATGTGCAGCCCCACATTTGTCTTCACAGAGAAAAGCAAGACACAATTCTTCCCAAGAATATTTCTGGGCTTCACATTCTCTGAACATCAGAGAAAGAAAACACAATTCTTATCTTATTTGCTGTGCCTCTGTTTGTGCAAAAGTAGAATGCAAATGGAGATTGTTTATCCAAAGTGATGGTGTTTTGTTTCCTTGGCCTATCAGGGCCAAGAGTGTGTGTGTGTCGGGACTGTCAGCTGACAGTCACGAGAATTCTGTGCAGCTGTGTGCAGTTGTGTGCCGAGTTGAGTGCTTGGCAGATTCAGTTTAGATGTAATGTAATACAGTATAGTATTAGTATAATAAAATAATTAATTAGCCTTCTGATAAGATGAAGTCAGATGCATCATCATTCTCTCTCCTATAGTTGGGTTGCCTGCAAATTCAATACTCATGTTCAGGGGGAATTTCCCAAGCATCAGTTCCATTGCCTCTTGTCCTACCACTGGCACCACTGAGGAATAGCCTGGAAACACCCTCTGACACCCTCCCTTCAGATGCTTAGGGACATTGATGAGGTTCCCTCTCAGTTGCCTCTCCTTGGGGCTGAGCAGGCCCAGCTTCCTCAGCCTCTCCTCATGAGAGAGGTGCTTCAGTCCCCTGATCATCTTTGTTGTCCTCCACTGGACTCATTCCAGCAGCCCTGTGTCTCTCTTGTACTGAGGAGCCCAGAACTGGACCCAGCACTCCAGGTGTGGCCCTACCAGGGCTGAGGAGAGCTTTTCAAAGGAAAAGATCTTATCTTTTTATCTTGATTCTTTGATGCTTGAAATGACTTAAAATGGCGTAATTTTTAGGACTACATGTGCAGAGGATTTCCAGAGAAAAAAAATCTGTGTCACCCACATTTGGAGACCATTTTTTTGCAAAACACTGCCTCTCCATTTTCACCTGTCACTACTGTTGATTGTCCCACTTGGAGGAAATCACCACCAGTGGTTGCCCTTCTTCCCTGAAGGCTCAAGGTGTTCAAGGCTCATGACTGTTCATGACTGTAAGCACTTTGAGATCCTAGGATCTTGTGAGCTTCCTAGGCATCTTCCAAGAAAGGCAAAAATCTTTGCCTTTCAGAGACAGGCAAGCTGAGACTCAGCAAACACAAAGTCAGGATCGCAATGCGCAGAGAATGTTACAATGTGACTGGATCACAGTTCTTCCCAAGTAACTCATCTTGAGCAAATTTAAATCAAAGGGAAACTAGGTAGCTGAATATATTCTGGGCTCATGACCTCTGTAAATCTTCCATCTCCTCATGAAAAAGGAACTAAATATAAACCAAACTTCAGAAAAAGAAACAGGTTAAGTGAAAATAACTGGGAGATAGCGTAAACAACCAAGCATCCAGGCTTGGCACACATTTTTTGAAGTATTTGTTAAGAAAAAACCCTCGATGGTATTTCTAAGAAACTAAGTTAAGCCAGCAGAAACTCACCCTGGCTATGGATCTGGCAAAGTGCTCTTTGGTCACTTTAGAGTATTCTGTTCAATGTAAACTGTATCACCTAAGCCTTCACAAATATCAGCTGTAGCTCCACCACTAAGTCTGTCTGTACGGCTGTATTGATGTGGGTTTAATAGCAAACTCTTTTAGTACAGATGAGGTCAGTGAAGACAGAGTACATTTGATAACTATTTGAGTTAACAGAACAAGATTCTGAGCTTCAGCTTAAATAATATATAATATGATATTTAGACTTTAGACTGGTTTTCAATTACTGCTATTAATTTTAGTTACTAGCATGGATTCTTGTGCTTACCTGGGTGAGCAGTAAGATACCATCCTTATGAAACATACCACACATAACATTTTAGGGAAAGGAACTGCATTTCGTTAATGAAAAGCATTTCTTCCCTAATAGAATTTAAAATGAGTCCCTACGTGACTATTTGTATTTTGTGAATTCTTTACCAGTCCCAGTCATGAGCTGCATTAGGTGCTGTACAAACACAACACAAAAAATCAACACTTTGTTTCCTGTACATATTGTTTTTCATTTAGTTAATTAAACTTCCATAAAACAACACTGACAAAAAAGCCCCAAGAAATCTCTTTTTAATCTCCATGTTCCTCAACTCTGACTGATAAGCTACAAAATCAAGGAGTATCAATACATAGGACTTAGACAGAAACTGGATATGCAATTAAAAAAAAGAAGAAAGTGAGGAAAAAATAATTAGCGACCCATATATCTAACAGAAACAGATAGTTCAAGAACAGCCATGTTACTTACTACTAAGGAAAAACAAATAAATAAAATCTGTAACATAACCCCAAACCAGAAGAAAGTACAGCCATCACCTATATTCTCCCCAGGTTCACAGAAAAAAACAACTAATGGTAGCAAAAGTAAATTGTAGACAGCTTAGTCCAAGAAAATGGACATTAAAATCATGATGATTCAGGAAAGCCAATTTTATTGGTCTTAAGCAAGTCATTGGCTTTTTTTCAATTTCAGAAAATTGATGTGTGTGTTTTCTTCCCAGCTCAAAGATAATGACTTTGTGTGGCAAGAACTTATATACATGAAGTACACAGAAGCAAATGACAAAAACTAGAAGGAAGGCATGCCATTTAGGGGGACCCACAGAAGCCTGAGAAGTGAACTCACAGAAGCAAAATAAGGTTGAACAAGTCCAAGTGCAAGGTGCTGCAGCCAGGTTGGGGCAATCCCAGACTTAAGTACAGACTGGGAAAAGAACTCATGGAGAGTAGGAACTTTCCTGCTGGGAAGGACTTGGGGGTGCTGGCAGATGAGAGGCCGGACATGAGCCAGAAATGTGCACTTGCAGACCAGAAAGCCAATTGTATCCTGTGCTGCATCAAAAGAGGGGTGGCCAGTAGGGCCCCATCCAGCCCAAACCATTGTATGATGCTATGAAACACAATATATCATGTTGAGGTGTTTATCTAAAAAAGTTTCTGACCCTTCTATTGTTAGGGTTTTTTTTTTTTCAAATTACATTGCCTGAAACACTTTTCAGAAAGATGTATGCAAACTGTCATGACTCAACTATTCAGAAATCAGTGCTTTGGGGACACTGAAATTAAAATTACTAAAATAATTAACAGCTTCTTAAATCATGCTGTACACTCAAACATCCACTGTATATTTCTTAACATAATTTCAGGTAAATTATATTTAAAACACAATAATAAAACAAAATATCTCATAAAAAAGTCTTGATGGTCACATGTTTCCTGGAAAATGCTTCTTATTTCTTTATTAGATTTTTTTTATCCTGACACACTGTTTTGCTGAGATTATCAGTAAGCAAAGATAAAAGAAAAATATGTTATTTGGTTTATTTAACTGTACCTGCTCATAGAAAGGATTGTGAGCAACGTAGTAATTGGAGTCAAAGGATTCTTCTGTTACCAGAACTCTCTGCCTCTCACCAACCTGGAAAATAGAAGATGAGAGATGTCTCAGAAAGCAAAACCAATGAATTATACTGAGAACTTCAGCTACAAACAAATGCCCTTAGTGGAAATAATCAAATTCTCTGAGGAACCTCTGTATCAGCAAGAAAGTGGAGCAGAGAAAACCCTACTTACAAGAGTCTAAACTGACAGGGTTAAAAGAATGGAGGGATAGAACTGAGGGGCTGTAATGAAAAAAATGAGGGGAAAAACTGGAAAATCCAGTTCAGAAATATAAACTGATTTTTATTTATTAAATAGCAAATAAAAATGTAAGATGTGAACAAAGTCCATTACCTTTTCATCCACCTAATGAAAAAATCTGCACTCAATCATCAAAAGGGTGTCTTTTCTTTAAAAGTCACACTTGTAATTTACAATTCTGGGGCATCTCCTTATTCCCTCTTGGTGAGCTCATTTCACTGTACTCATGAGATCACACCAATTTCCATGGCAGTGGAGCCAACACTGCATATTAAAAAGACTCAAGAAGAAGAGTTTATAACAACTTACAGACCCAACATACTAAAGGCAAAATAAATACTGGTCTGGAAAGATCTGTGTTTCAATTATACTCCTCAACTTCCAAATGCACTTACACTGTTCAAGGGAAGCACCAATTTTAAAATGAAATTGAAGACTCAAAGACAAATCAGTTGCATTTAAGGACCAAACAGATATGGAACAAAATCTGACTTTCCCCAAAGTTCAAAATCTCCCTCTGGTCCTGTCCATTACTGAGTTTATGATGAAGTGTATAGCCTAATGTCTGCAAACCTGGAAGGACATTTAGCTCACATTTTTAGTCTGAGCCCATCTCTACTTTTTCCATCTAAATGTGCTCTAGATTATTTCCAAACTATTTGACAAATGCATTCTGCAAATAACAACTGTCTAGCAAGTTAAATTTACCCACTGATTTTATTACTATTCTGAGACCCAAGAAGGTTTCACATTTTACTCCACAGCTTTAATATCCATGAGCAAAGTTACATTCCCCTCCCCTCTCCCTGAAAGATTCCCACCACATCCCAGTGGCAGCTGTTACACACAAGTTTTAAGATCTCCATCATAAGTTCCATGTGAACTCTGCAAGATTCAGAGAGGATAATAATGCTTTGATTCTTTAAGGTACAAGCAGTAGAAGATAAGATTAGGATTTTCTCTTACAGTTAATTGTAGAAAACAGAACTTTAAGAAATAGGAGCAGCAATGTCACATCTGCATTACAGCATATACATGTACACACATATGTATAGACACGAGATACGTATATAATTCTCCACTTGCTGAAAAGAAAGATTTCACAGAATAACTCTTGCCTTCCCTTCCTTGTGCATTTATCTGGAACATTTCCAAAGTAAACCCTGGAAAGCAAAGGAAACAGCAAGCACCCAGCTCATTTCCCCAAAGGCAGATAGACTTTACTCCTCAGAGCCACAAGTTTTGGGGTACACAGCAGAAGGGGACAAATCCCTTGAAGTCCAAACCCAGTGACAGACCTCTAATAGCAGAAAGTATGTATATTTTTGCATATTTTTAAGAGGTGTTTAAGACTTGTTTATAACAGATTTAGAATTTCCATTCTCTGGGAAGTCTGAAACTACAAATAACAACTGATAAAACATACTCAAATTTTAGTAAAAATCCAGTGTAACCACTGGTGGTTTATTTCATTATTGTTTTCAAAAAAAACAGTCATTAAACTTAAATCCCCAGAGGAGTTTTGCAAAATATGTCAATAAGGCACTTGAGATAACTACTTCAGTAATAAGATTACAGAAAACATTTCCCCTAAACTAAGAGGTTTTGTTACTTCCATAGTATTTGAGACCACAGCTTTTAAAAATCACAGCTCAACATCTGCTGTAGCACTGAAGTGCTCAAGTCTCAGATGTCCTGCAATATTATGAAAAAGAGGAGGGCAGAATGTTAGATAAGCAACATTCACCCTTGGGCAAACATGCTACCACTGAAAAGCATGAAGGCCAATCACCAAGTCATGTCCTCACATCCTGTTTATTATTTACTGACACCAAAACTTAGCAAAACTGGCTCAGAGAAATATTGGGTCTGTAACTCATTTCTCAGTTGTCTTGTGGTTCCCTGGCTCTCTCTGGTCATAACAGTCTGCCTTCATCGTGGCTATGAACCCTGCCTGTGAGGCAGACTAGGCTACATGTGGTATCTTCATACTCTGAGATGACAGAATGGTAAGCATATTATGCAGAAAAAAAATTTAAAAATCAGAGGGAAGAAGAAAAGAACACCTGTGTTAGATCATTTGATATAAGTTGTGGTTTCTTCAGAGAGATGTTGCCAGTTTTTCTCAGCTTTGCTTCCAGGAGCCAAAAGAGGTCAGGTCTCCATGTCTCAGTGGGCCAGAGGGAGAGATTCTGGGCTCAGAATTTCTTGGGAATGGGAAGAAATCAGGGAGGATTTCTGATCCTAAATTCATCATATAGGATCAGAATGGCGGCATTTAAATTGAAGACCAGAAACTCAGAGGAGCAAAGGAGCCTATACCAATTTACAGCACATGCATACAGACAGACAGACAGACACACAGAAAACTAGCATGGTGCACTGTAAGGAATGAAAAGTAAAGCCAGTAATTGTCCACTTGCTGAAGTTATGGATCTGTAGCCTTGGCCAAGGCTGAGCTCCAAGAGAGATACAACTCTCAGCTATTTGCAGACTCCTGTGCCATAACAACAGAGGAGGAAAATTCCATTTAATGAGTTAGGCCATTGCGTATTCATGATCTACAAGAGTAATTGGCTACATGCATTTGGAAGACAGAAAATTACTATCTATCCTGCATCCAAGTATAATTAAGAAGAAATGTAAGTACGCAGAACGCAGCTTTGGTATTGAAATTTGTTCAAAAAGTGGAATATGTCATCATTTCTGCAATTATTCCCCTGGGATCTCTAAGTGCCTAAGTTTCACCTCTCACAGAATTTAAATATGCAGAAACCAGACATGATATCTAATAACAGTCATAATTATAATAACTTTGATGATTTTTTTTTTCAGGCATGTAGCAGCAGAAGTAGTTCAGTATCTTATTTTTATTCCTATTCTTTCATCTGCTTCCATAGGTACACATGAGTTCCAGCTCTCAGGGAACTACAATTCTGCCAAAGCATCTGGAATTGAGGCAACTCATCCCTGGCATCTCAATTTGGAAAGGTTTCCTACAGAAGCATTATTTTTCACTTTATGGCTGACATTATGAAAATATTTATGAATGATAGCAAAAAAACCCCTTGTCCAGCAATCTCCCCCATGCCAAATTGGACTGGTCACATAATTTCCTCAAGGGCAATTTGCTTTCACCAAAAACCATGCAACAATTGCTGCTGGTCTGATCACTTCCTGCACTGCAACAGTTATCAGGAAGTTTGTAAACCTCAGAGTTAATAATCAAATAATTTAGGAACTTTTATTTCGTTTTCATTTATCCTACAGGAAATTCTGACATGATAATTCTTTAACTCAGTTTTTCCTTCACCGGAAACCATGAAAAGCAGGTTTTCCAGCTGGCTGATTTTATAGAATGAATGAACAGCAAGAAATGTCCAAAATCCTTCTTGGCTGCAGTCAAATTAAGTTTCTCTTTTAAACCAAAACTGACTGAATCACATAAAACGCAAGACCGATTTTTAAACTCTGCAACAGTCTGGGTGCCAAGGACTGTCCCTTTTTACATCCTTTGATAGAATATTGCTACGTAACGTCAGCAGTGGTGCCTGCTGTGATCACAATCAGGTAATTTTTTTTTTCCCATCAATGAAGACTATGATTGCACAGTTTGGATTTGTTACTTACTACAGCCAGAACATGTGGAATAATATATTTTTCAATGTTTCCTTATTGTTCTTTTATCTGTATTTTATCAGCTTTGTTTTTTAAGAGCTGCTGATTGGCTAAAAATATATAAATTAATAACCACTGTACTTCTATAATTCTCCCATGGAAGCACACTGCCCATGCAGCAACTCCACTGATTTAGAGACAGTGGCCAAACACTTCCTCAGACTAAGTTCAATTCATAGTAAAATTGGTATGCATGTCTCCATTTCTCTTGAAGGAGGCTGCCTTGGATTCTGACCCAAATAATCATGGAACATACTCAGTATAAGGCTTGGAAGCCACATAAATATCTGCTTTCCTGTATTTGTTATTTAAATATGTCACAAAACAAGCAACAAAAAATACACACCATCACAATTTATGTGTGTGCATATTCTAGCAGATTATTCTGATGTATAGAATATTTCTAGTAAACATATTTGACCTTTATTAAGTATAACAAATTTTAGGCAAAAGCAATGTAGATAGTTTCTTCTGCATCAGTTTTGGTTTAGTTCTCTCCCGATTTTTCAGTTGCGGTCTAATTATTTTGAATAAATTTTAGTAATTATGCAGACTATGTATTCTTCACTATAAAGCAGAAATGAACTGCTGGACCTATTTTTTTAAAAATCACATGAATCCGTCTGTAAATAGAAGCCAAATTTCTTGAAAATTATAATCAAGCATTCTCTAGGTCTTCTGTTTACATATTGTATGGGTGCTCTCCACCTGATAAAGAAGTCAAAGTGTGCCACTACCTCCCAGAAAAAGCAACAAAGTTTGTAGAAACTTATGACATGGTCCTGTTTTGATGATATCAAAACACATCTCTTTTCAAAATCTCCTTTGTACTGCTTTGTTCTGCTATGCAGCACTGCTCCTCAAAAAATTTAGAATGTATACATCTTTCCCTTTCTGAAGGTAATCTTGGAGACAAAGCATGGACTTGTCTCAGAGCTTTTCGACAAAGTTGCTTGGGATTTAAATGTGGATATTGGAAAGCAGTAACATGAAAATAGTTCCGCTCCTGAGCATGACAATTTTTATGCTGGGATAAATATACTTTTCTAGCACACAGCACAGACAGCTGCCACTTCACTAAGGCTCATGTTACAACGG